GGATAAGATTTCTGATGGAATTGAAATTCTTACGTTTGTAGCACAGTGCTTTCCCATAATGAATATTCAATAACTGCTCAATAAACTAACGAAATATATCTTTGATAAAAATACAAGCCATTGTCCATTAACAAACATTTGTTGGTCAACTCTAATAACCAAGTAACTAAATCTGCACGCTTTTAAAGACACAAAGTAATATAGAATTAACTTTGCATAAATAAGAAAAAATTATACAGAATGACATGAATCATCATGTAAACTAATGGACACTAATTAAAGCACATGGAATTCATCACTGCATTTTACACCTGAGTTTTTAAGTTTTATCAAAAGTCCTAATAAGAATTACCTTACAATCTTCCCTTAACAAGAACTTTGACTATAGGAAAGCTAAAATCTCTAAGAGAGAACCAAATGTATTTAAATGTTCTCATACATAGAGCAATACATTTCTTTTTGTTTTTTAAAATAAATTGTATTTTCATTTGAAAGGGATAGTAACATAGAGAAGCAAAAATCCAGAGAAAGAAAGAGATCTTCCATTTTGTTTCATTTCTCAAATGGCCGCAGGTGTTGGAGCTGAGCCAATCCAAAGTCAGGACCCAGGAGATTCTTCTGGGTCTTCAACGCAGATGCAGGATCCCAAGCATTAATCCATCAACTGCTGCTTTCTTAGGCTATAAAGCAGGAAGCTGGATGGGAAGCAGGGCTGCTGGGAGTAACCAAGACAGAAGCCAGCAACCACATGAGATAGCACAGCAAGCAGAAGCTCAGTATACATGCTAAGCTGGTTAGAATATTTTTTCTCTCTTTTTAAGATTTATATTTATTGGAAAGTCAAATTTACAGAAAGAAGAAGAGACAGAGAGAAAGATCTTCCGACTGCTGATTCAGTTCCCAACTGGCTGCAATGGCTGCAGCTGAACCAATCTGAAGCCAAGGGCTTCCTCTGGGTCTTCCACATGGGTGAAGCTTCCCAAGGCTTTGGGTCCTCCTCTACTGCCTTCCCAGGCCACAAGCAGGGAGCTCCATGGCAAGTAAAGCAGTAGGACATAAACGGGTACCCATATGTCATCCTGATGTTTGCAAGATGAGGATTTAGCCACTGAACCATCATACCCACAGTCCCCCACCACAATGTTTCTTTTAAAAAAGAAACAGAACCTGGGATAGTCACCAAATATTGCATGAGTTGCTGTTGAGGGAATTCTTTGCTTCATGAACTCGAATAATAATGACTGACACATATTCAATCTAAGTCAGTGTTATATTCTTCATGTTTTTCAAAATTTTCATTTTTAATTAACACATAGTAACTAAGTATATTTTAATGCAGACAGGATATAACAGGTTTGTATTATGAAATGGTTAAATTAAGCTAGTTGTATTCATCTCTTCTTATTTGTATCTCTGAAATGAAAACACTGAGGATCTACTTTGCTGGCAATTTAAAAATATATAATGCATTACCTTAGATGATAGTCAGCATAAATAAAACCTTTTCCTCCTGTATAACTGAATGTAGCTTTCTGGACAATATTCTCCTTTTCCCAAACCCCACGCTCACCTTGACTAAGGTAACTACCACTCTTCTGTCTTCTTCTATTGGCTCAATTCTTTTGCATTCCATTGCTAAGTGATCATATAATTTTTCTGTGTTTGGCTTGTTTCACATAACACAAGGTCCTCCAGGTCCGTTTAGGACCTGTACAAATGAAAGAATTTTCTCCTTTTATAAAAGGCTAAGTAGTATTGCAGACTGAACATACATCACATTTTTCTTATACATTTATCTATTGTTCAATACTAAAATTACTTCTGTATCATAGCTACTGTAAAGTGGCAATAAATGTAAAAACGCAAGCATCCCTTCAACATACTGAGATTTTAAAGAATTATTAGTTATTACACATATGTTTTACTTACCCTCTATTCAGAGAAATCATGGACATATGATTTCAATTTTCTGCAAAAGATGAAGAATATATTAAGGAAATAATTATGCAAAGAATCATTTTTAACCTTTAGGAATTCAATTTGTGGAAGTTTAACATTTATTCATAGCATCTTATTGTGTAAATATCCCTGCAAATAAAAGTTATACAGGAAACTAGATAGTGGAATGGTGTACATGTTTACAAGGACAGAAAAAAGGAAAGTAAAGAATATAGAGAAATATGGGGAAGAAAGTGACTCTCCCTTTCCTTGATTCAGTACACCCTCCATGATGACTTGTATAAATCAGGTGAGCTCTACAGTCTGCTGTCTCAATTCAGCTATAGAGAGGAAAATGTGACCAGTTAAAATTTAACAGTTTATTTAATCAAAAGAAAGACTAATAGACTGGGCAGCAGTCCAAATAAATGTTCAGAATGACTTTACCCACAGCCTGTGCAGCCAGAGCAAAGGAAATGGCACACAAAAACACCTGATTTAAATTGGTATATGCCTTTATGGGCATGATGTGATTAACAGCAGAGGCTCACCTTCTGTTATTGCTGGCTAACACCCACGTCATTATAAGAGAATTTATCCTTAAGCTTGATTCCAAATGGCTTATACATCTTACTATAGCTTACTAAGTATGAAAGAAGTTCTGGATTAAAAATTTCACCCACTTACAGAGATGTGTTTAAATCTAAAGTTATCTAGCCTAACACCAATGAGACAGTAGTCTCCACTCAGAATCATTCTCAAGTGAGTTTCTATTCTGAATTTACTAGACAAATGGTAATGGAAACTATCGGGATCTTTTCATCCTCTACCTGCCGCTGCAGGTTCCTGCTTTCATTCATTGTTAGAATTTAGAGGTGTAATGCCAAGCCCTTAAGCCTATGCTAATAGTTATTAAGGAAGGACCACAAACAATTCTATGAAAGAAAAGGAGAATCACTAGTGAATCCTTGAGGCAGGTAATAATGAAGATTTTAGTGTCAATAAATAGCCAGGAGGGGCAGGAATGGAGCAGTTAAAGCAGACTCTTTAAAGACTTGACAGGAAATATGATGAAACAAGAGACTGAAAAACTTAGAACTAATCATGTTAACAATCAAGATTTATGGACAAGAAAAGAAACTAAATAAAGACAAGAATAAGCTGGCAACAGAAGAGAGTTGTGAATAAATTAGTGGCTTCTATAAGATAACGTATTATTTCTACAAAAATATGTTAGCAAGTAGATATTGTGGCACAACAGACTAAGCTTCTTTGGGATGCCCACATCAGTTCAGAGTGCCAAGGATCAAGTCCCATTTCTTTCTACCAAAGCAGATCCTACCAAGGTACCTGGTAATATCAGGTGATGGTTCTTATCACTCATTTGTGAGACATAGATTTCTGGTTCCTGAGTTCAGTCCAGCCTAGCCTGTTTATGAATGGCATTTGAAAAATTAACCAGATGGAGGCTGGAAACAGGCCTATTTTTTCTCTCTCTCTTTTTTCTCTCTTTCTCCCATTCAAATAACTAAATTTTTAAAAATTAATTAGAAGTTATCATCACCTGCTATAACTACTTTATTGTGTTAAGCAGGATTTAACACTGGCCACTGTTCCTAAAGAGCTAATATCATAGTAAGAAAAGAGAGGCTTATTTAAATTATCACACAAGCTATATTTCAAATATATACAGAAACTATTATTCAAGTATATTAAATAAACTATAATTTCTCAGCTTATTGAGAGCTATGAATAAAAGTTCAATAGACTGCCAAGAATGTTCACATCCTGAGTGACTTATTCACGTCATGCCATATCAGTGGCTACATATTTACAGCACTAGCTTCATGATCAATTTGAGTTCCTTGGGGTGGACAAGCTCTTTCCTGAAAAAATGTTCACAGGACTGAGGTCTGAATGGATATGAAATGCAGAATATATGCACAGTGGAACATTATTCAGTAAAAAAAAAAAAGTGAAATTAAATTCTGTTATTTGCAGCAAAATGGGAGGAACTGGAGAATGCTAAATAATGTAAAATAAGCCAGCCATCAAATAACAAACACAGCATGCCATACCTCATATGTAGAAGCTAAAAAAGTCTATCAGAATCCAAAATAATGATAGTAATCTAGCAGGGGTGGACATGGGACTACAAGGAGCTTGGATGATGGGTACCAAATCAGCTGGCTCAAAGCAATAACTTGGTAGTAAAAACGAAATACAAACTCTACAATGGATCAATGTGTAGTGTCAGTGAGAAACCCAGTAAGTAGTATGTCTTTTTTTTCCTCTTGGATTCTGAGAAAATTAACAAATAATTCTTAAATGTAATTCTGTTGGAAGATAAACTGCTAAATAAGAAGATCATAGAAGATCTGAATGATTGCATTGGTTGGCCTAATAATTAGATGTTCTCCTCCAAGTCTCATTTCAAGGATTTCCTTCTGGATTTATCCTAAAGAGCAATTTCTTTTATATGGATACTCTGCTGCAGTAGGAAAACATGACACAAAGGGATTTAGGAAGGCTAGGTTGCAGCCCTGGATTTGCATAATTAGTCACATAGAACAACATACCTCTTGCTGCATCTCACTGACATAGGCAGGGCCTTTGGGTAGTGGACCAGAGCAAATAGAGATGAAAGTAGTCAATATAAAAGCAAGAGTTATACCAATGTGAAGTTTACCCATTATTTATTGAAAGCTATCTTTATTTGATGAGCTCCAGAGAGAGGTGATAAGAATGATTAAACAGCAAAGCAAGCAATTTAGGGCATCCCTATGATAAACTGGTAAAGAGCCGGAGATTTGGGGATAAATAGATGTTAACTGGGCACCTGGTTGCGAATTTGAAAAGTGTGAGTCCAATATTTAAAGTCTATAGCCTTCAAAGATCATCTCAAAAAATGTAAAATCTCTGAGGGTGACGTGGAAACCAAGCAAGATGATACAATTCAGGGAATAGCATAGATCTTCTTCATCTTCAACCAGTCAAAACTAGCTTCCCATTATGGGGATAAGTAGCATGCCTCCAGCTGTTTGTTATGTTTCTTGGATCCCTTATCTCAAATGATTTATACATAATATTACATAGTTTCCTTCTGCAGTTTCAGGCACATTACCATACAAAATCTTATTACACAGATCTCTTTACAGAGGTATTGTTATCAAAGAGAAGAAAAGAACAGGATGGAGAAAATAAACATCTAGAAAATTCATTATAAAATTTGTCATTTATTTTCAATTGGTAAATGCCTTATTATAGAATACCCTTTTCAAGGAACTTTTCACTTCCTTGTTCCTCAAGGAATAGATTAACGAGTTCAGCATGGGTGAAACTATGTTGTTTAATATTTGCACCACGGCATTAAGCAAAGGGTTGGGTGTGCGCTGCAGATAGATGATGATGACAGGTCCATAGGCACAGAGGATTGCAGTGAGGTGGGCACTGCAAGTGGAGAAAGCTTTCCGCCTTCCTTCTGCTGAACGGATTCTCAAAATGGCAATACCAATGCGTGTGTAGGAGACACAAACACTGAGTAGAAGCATTAACGCCAGAAAGCCCACATTAGTGGAACCTACCCTCTGAGCCGTGGAACTATCAGTACATGCAAGAGGTAAAATGGCAGGAATGTCACAGAAGAAGTGTCCCACCTGATTGGGACCACAGTAGGTTACCTGAAAGGTAAAGAAGGTCAAGATGGTGGCTTGGATGCTCCCAACAAACCAGGCCACCAAGACCAAGCCAACACAGACTCCAGGTTTCATGATGAGCATGTACCTCAGTGGATGGCAGATGGCAACAAAGCGGTCATAAGCCATGACAGAGTAGAGGCAGCCTTCGGTACAGCCCAGAAAGTGGTAGAAGAAGAGCTGTGCTGCACATCCTGCATACAAGATGGCTCTGCTCTGGCCAGAGAGGTAGAAGAGCATCTTGGGACAGGTGACTGATGGGAATAATATGTCAAAAATGGACAGGAGTCCCAAGAAGAAGTACATGGGGGTGTGAAGAGCAGAGGAAGAAATGATTGCTGTCAGGATGAGTAGATTTCCAAGCAGGGTGAAGAGGTAGATGAGTGAGAAGACGACCAAGAGCAGAGTCTCCAGTCCTTCTGTCTGAGGTATTCCCAAGAGAATGAACTCATTCAGTAAGGTGTAATTGCTCATATTCTTGAAAAGGCAGGAAGCATAGTCACAAAAGACGTGAAAGTAAGAATGTAGAGACTGTGAAAAACACAATAGCAATGCATTAACTATCACCGAACTTTGATCGTACAGGAAATCAAGAATTAAACAATTCTTACAAAGATATTTAGCAGCCAGTGCACATATATATATATATACCTCATATCTCAGTATCATAGTTCTTCATAAAAATAGACACAAACAAAATAAAATATCAGCATAAAAATACTGCATAGGCTTAGACAGCAAAACTCTCAGTATTAACAAGTAAACATCATTTTTTATCACTCATGATCCATTATGTAACAATCATTTTCCAATTATAAATCACCCTGGTAGCCTTATCTTCCTGATTTTTTTTTCACAGTGTCTACCATAATTTAAGGTGTGCTCAAATGCCCTAACTCTTCATAAAGTTCAGTGTGGACATACGTACCTCTCACCAAAACAAAATATGTAACAGACTGGAGTTAGCTTATGTTTGAGGCACACTAATATCATTCTAGTCATATCTATTCCTATCACAATTTAGGAAATGGTAATAGCAATAAATGTGTACACTCTTTACTAGGCATATTTTTGAGCATGTTATTTATTCTTTGAAACACTCACATTTTCAAATACTCTGAAATGCTTTCTTTTGTCCTTATACCTTTTCAAATTGTTCGAAAATTAATCCAAAACCAGTGGCTTCAACAAACCAGCCTAAAGCTACAGATTCCAAGTCTGCAACAAGGAATTTTGAACCACATGGAAATGAATTGCATTAAATATCTAATCTAGGTCTGATGGAAGAGAATTTGGATATCTCCATCACTGCTGTCACATATAATATTCCATTGTTGTAGGAAAAATAATGTAAATATTAGGTGCAGGTAGAGTGTTAAGGTAACAAGAGTGTTCCCGTGAGTTAAAGGACATGTAGAACATAAGGGAAAAGACAGCAAACCTGAAACAGGGTAAAATTATTCATGCAGTCATAGATAACCAATTTAGAGTATGTGTCTTTGTCCATGTAAGAATACAGAATAGCATTATCGCAACATATGCATACAATTGATTCTCTTTACTATTGCTTCATGGTATTAAATCCATACATGATCTGCTTATTATTTTACTTCTCCAAGCATTTGGATCCTTTCGATTTTCTTGTTTGTGTCCTTTTGATTTTATTACAAGATGAAAGCCAGTGTTTGTGTTTTACTTTCTTCCCAGCATAATTTTATCTTTTTTCTATGGCGTGTCATCCAGTCTTCAGATCAACTTGTATCAATGCTGAAGTTTTTGAATAAAAAGCACATGACTTATTTTGAAGGACTATGCTATTGCAATGACGTAGGGGAATTCAGTATGGGGAGAGGCCATTGGAAGAGGGAAAAGGTGAGTTCCTGAGTCTCAGGAGCTATATCATTAAAAATAGAGTTTAAAGACTTCTGAACAAATTTCTATTAGGTTAAATGAACAGCATAAAAACCAACAAGCAAGAAATAAGTGCTATGCAGTTATTTGAATATATTGCTAGGAAAAAAACTTTCCATAATCTGGATTTTGATGGAATGGAACATGTGACTTTTATATTATGAACAGATGGAGATAAATATAAAAGGAATTTGGTAAATTTTGGAAAACAAGATGAAGTAAATAAGAAAATATTGCTGAAAATGTGTATTATTATAATTATTATCATATCCTCATAATTATTATTATCCTTGGTATCTAACGAGTACTCACTAAATGTTTATTTTTTGATTAACTGAGATAGCATTTCACTTGCAGAATTGCTGTAAAAACTGAACATAATAATGTTTATTAATAATCTTGGAAAAGATAATGATACACTGTACTGCTGTCTGGAGCAGAGGGTACTATAGGGAAATTCCGATATGGAAGGCAAAATTATTATTTTTTAAATTTTCTTGTTAATTTTATGCATGTGAAAGTTAAGAAGAGCTTTTCCATCTTCCATTCATTCACCAAAAATTGTTGATACCTGGTCAGGCTGAACCAACAGGCTGAAATTCAGTCATGCCCTTCCACATGAGTGGCAAGGACTAAACTACTTAGACAAGCACCTGCTGCCTCCCCCGTGTACATTAGCAGGAAATTGAATGAGAAGCAGAAGCAGGAGCCAAGCATCATTTTAAACACGGAAGCAAATGTTCATCCCCAAGACACGTTTCTCAAGTCAGCCACATTCCATTTTACATCTAGTAATTAGATGGCTAACTTTTGACTTTGCTATGCCTTCATTTCATCTGCTCTCAAATAGAGATAGCATGACATCATAAGAGCTATTCACAGAAAATTCAGTAAGAGGCATCTAATTGAAGTGTCAAGTGTTGCAGGTGCATAGCAATTGTTGCTTATTCTTAACTCTGGACAACAGCTAAACCACTCTTTAAATGTATTGAGTAATGTTGTCATAACCATAGCTGATGCCAAATAGTCTGCAGTTTTATTGGAGTCTTCAACAATTCCCCAGGAAACTCATGTAGGTGTCCTCTGAATTATTCTGAGATTTAAAAACATGTGTTGATAAGTATTGAGAGCCATGGTTTAAATGCTTTAAAAGTCCCCTGTACCCCACATGCGAGCACCCTTCTGAACCATTTAAAACACAGCAAGATAGAAATCAGACTAATAGATAATACCAGTTATGTACAAGGAAAAACAAGGGTCACCAGTATAAACAGGGTCTTCCATAAGACATTTTAAAAGCTATGTATATAAGTGAAAATGAGTATCTCATTTGATTATTGTTTACAGTCCTTGTCCATTTTCCTGATGGATAAAGATCAATTTTTATTATTTAATTGGTGAACACTTTATTTGTGAGTAATCAACACTTCGACTCTAATGTACATTAGAATGTTATTTCTAAGACAGCAATAAACAAAGAAAAGGAACAAAGCCTGGGAGATAGGATTTGGATGTTTTGGCATAAGAAATGTTAAATATTTGAAGATCTATATATTTTTCACTCTGCTCAGTCAATACATTTTCAAAATAGTATGTCATGCCCTATATATATGCTGGATTTTTATTATTCTGTTAAATTGTTTTCCTAGATTAAAAATTAAATGTTCAATAAAAAATTAAACGAGTTTGTAGCCTTTGAAAAAAATAGGACTAGTACAAGGGCTTACAAGCTAATTCTCCACCTTCAAGTGCTAGCTATCCTAAATGGGCACCAGTTCCTATCCCATCTGTGCCACTTCCCATCTAGCTCCCTGCTTATGGCCTGGGAATGCAGTGGAAGATGGCTCAAAGCCTTGGGATCCTGCACCCCTGTGAGATATCTGGAAGAAGCTCCTGGCTCCTACCTTCTCCTTGGCTTGACTCCAGCCTTTGCAGCCTTTTGGGGAGTAAACCAGCTGATGAAAGATCTTGCTCTCTTCTGTCTTCCCTTTTCTTCGTAAATCTGACTTTGAAAACAAAGAAAAAGTAAAAGAAAAAAATCTCAGGAAGTAGAAAAGTTTCAGATTAAGATTTTTGTTTGATACCAATTTTGAAATCATACATGTAATTCTACAGGTGATTTTTTAAAATTTTAACCATTTAACATCATATTATTTCTATTTATAAGCAGACAGATTTATGGGGATCAAAGACACATGGACTCAAAATGATAAAACGATAATGTGGGCATGCACTCATAATAGAAGAGTATACACTGTGAGATAATTTACCTGAAATTTGAATGCCAGTTTAGAAAATTGAAAGCATACCAAGTTGTAAAGAACATCAATTAGAAGTCTGTAGACTTAATGTTTTTATTTTTGATTGTGTGATTATAGGCTAACAATTTGTAATCTCTAAATATCAGCTTCTCACAAAGAAGCAGAAAGTATTTCTTATGCAAATAGCTTCAATCTTTACTAATCTGTAAAATTTATCTTTCCAACTTTTTACAGCAAAAAATACAAGAGAATTTTTAAATAACTAATGTAAGATAAAAGAATTAGATACAGCAAAAGTTCTGACATAACAGTGAATTGTCTCTTCAATTCAACACTTTTCTCTTGTGTCCACAAATCTGTATTTTGACATCTATCGTTACAACTTTGTTCTGTGAACAGCTGTAATGTCATGTATTGGCACATATGTAAAGATATTTATAAATAACGAGAACCAACTAATATTCTTAAATTAACTGAGAAAATGTTCACCTCAATGGAGTGATGAGGTTAATGTAAGACAAAATAGGACTAGAAATGAAACCTCAAGAAATTTTACACATTAGGAAAAGAGTGATTTACAAGGAAATATACTACAGGACCTTTACAGCACTGGGAAGAGAAACCGAGAATGTTTTTTATGTCTTATTATCCTAGAATTATTTTTTCTTCATGGTGAGGAATGTATCTAACTTTAATCCAAAGTGACTATGCGAAGCTTGAAACATGATTGAGGCTGGATCAGCCAGTGATAAACCAAGAAGAGGCAAGGCATACCTCCCTCCCTGCTGTATGAGACCTTGAATGGTACATCTCACAAAATCAGAAGGAATTCTGGAATGGTGATTTCTCCAGCAATTCTGGCCCAGGTTTCTACAAGGAAGACTAAAAAGCTAAACGTTGATCATGGCTGAAGGAGAAGAGGAAAAAGCTCCAAGCACGTACATCATCAGCAGCAGAGACAAAGCTGGTTCAAGAAATTAAAAACAAATGTTTTCTGTTCTTCTATCTTCAGCTTCTGCCATAAACTTAGGAATCTTTCCAGCCCCAACATCCCTCTTCCCTCAGGACCAGGGAATTGTGCTAGGTTCTCCAGCTGCAAACCCCTTCAGCATTCCACACAGTGAGCACTGTACAACTGCTGGCTGCACTAGCGCCTTATTTCTTCAGCATTAGCAGAAATGAAGTTATCTGCTCCCCTTGTGGATGTGAAAAGGTGTTACGGTCCCTCTGGAACTTTATCCATTATCTATCCCTAGACTCAGGGAACAGGCAGCAGCCCTCTGAGTTTAGGGAGCAATTAGA